AGTAACAACAATGTTAGGCAGCACTTTGATATTACTGAAGCAAATCGGGACCATTCAGGTGTACCCACTCTGTGACTTCCCGTTAGTAGACAAACTCATTCACTGATATGTAACCGGTCCTTTGCAAAGCGGACAGATGAAACACCCGATTGAGAACGTTTCTGACTTACCTGCAATGACTTTCGAATGATACTTGGATAAGCTGGTTGGGTTGTTGGGCACGTCACACGAAGATAGCCTGAGCTTTTTCGGAAATAAAACAAGCAATTGGACTGAAAACACAAAGGGATTGTCACTTGCTATAAAGACCGATTAACCATGTGCATTCAAACGGTTTGAAAGGATTTAAAACGTTTGTGGCGATAACTAAGTTGTAACGTTGCCTGTCGTGACACAAGGCAGTTGGGCATAAGGAATCCATAAAGACGTCCTTTCATCAAGCGATTACTTACCCTAGTATCAAACTACACTGACATCTGGAGTATTACCCATCCGATTCTGAGTCACATTCCCTCAATAGATATGTGGTACGTTGTAACTCCGAACTGGCTTCTTTTAATAATGTACCAGACTAACTTTTTTCCAATTCGTTGACAGCATAAGAAGATTTGAAATGTTTTACTCGAGCTTTCATGCTTTAAGTGAAGACAAACTTCCGAAAAGCTGCTTTATCTGTGCAGGGAATCAGCAGCAGCTTGCATTTACAAACCTCCGGGGATGTTTAACTTGCAACCTCCTGGATGGTATCCCGTAGGCACGCAGCTGAGGCCTGCCAGTCGGTCGAAATCTAACGTTCAACGGACCAGTGATAACTGGGATAATCGAGACCATTAACACATTATTTCTTGAAGTGTATCCATTTCAGGGGCCCTATCACCAAATATTCCTATTCGGTCAGCAATAAAATGACTGGTATAAGTTGCTTTTCTCCTCTGACAAACGATGCATCATCTTAAGCGCATAAATCATATAGTGTGTAAATTCCTCTGTACAATCTACATTTTTAATTAAGCCGGTTCAGAACAAGACCGGATGCAAAGTTTGGTCATATCGATGGCTGCAGCTGAAACATTTCAGTCATCCTTTCACAAGACATTATGCGCACTCGTGCGTGCTGTAAATTAGTTGTAGTCGCATCCGGCTATCTGATATCCCCATATGACATACAATAGTTCACCATAAATCCTAGTCTCCAAGGCTGTCGGACATGAATATGTTGTCCGGGGATACACATCATCTCATTCCCGAACTGCCTTCGGACCCACACACACTGACGTTTATTCTCCAATCGTATTTGAAGAAGAGAGGAGTGCAAAACAGATGATATATCTATATCTCACTGGCTTTCATTTCCAGCCATTGCGCCAGAAACATTCCTTACAGTATTATAACCTGTTTACTATTCAGGACTCATGCAAGTGTATACAGGAACGGAGATTCGACATACAATGGGACCTGTAAGCAGGCTGTTCACCAGAAAGCCGTTCGTCATTGGATGCGTCTTTGGTCAACAAAATGTTAAACAGCATCCGGTAAAACAAGGCGTCCGGGACTTATTGAAAGATATGAATTTTGCCATGGCCGACGGAACGGCGCTTCCAAATGGGGTGTCCCATTGAGAGCTAGTCTGGAGTGCGCAAATGCGACAGTATCACCAGGGTTCATGCGTAGCGAGTAAAATGCCATAAAAGTTTCTTTGCTTGCGACAGATGTTCTCGAAAGCGTATTCAACACTCATATATTGAATGACTTCCGAAATTCGGATGCTCGCTTCGTACCGATGAGGACAATCGAGGCTATTCTGCTGGTTACTACCATGCTGGAACAACCATGTTAAGCAGGTTACCAATTGATCTCGCCATTAAACTTTCTCTGAACCTGAGGAGCCCGAGAATAATCTAAATGAGATTCTCTTTCTTCTCACTTCTCTTTTTCTGTCAACTGGAAAGAAGGTCATTCCAATGAGCTGGAAACCAAATCTCTACAGGTATTTTTTACAGAGAATGTTTCAGTGGAGTGGTGGAGCGCTCAATTGGTAGAGCGCGAATTTACTGACAGGGAGGTACGTGGTTCGAACTCGACCTCCACATCTCAACTTTCCCTGTCTAGACTTGGGCAACCTGAGAGTATCCCATTCCTCGGGCTTCCGTCGGCTGGCATGGCAGTCGGGCACCGGAAGGATGTTACAGCTGGACAAGTTAAATTCTTTTTCAGAGGACTGACAGTCGTGCTCATAACACGTTGCCCATAAAGGCCGTAGATTAGGTGATCACTTTTTGGTAATTTACAAATCACTGATAAACTTATTCTTAGTTTAAGCAGTAGAACCTACGTCGAAGAATGGATTTCACTGTGACAAGTAGTTTCTTTAACTTTATACTCATCAATGTAATTTGTTTGCCGAATAACTGGTTCCGTTTTTCTTGCGTTTGGGGAAAATTAATGCTCTAGTATTGCCTACTTTAATATTTTCACTATGGCAATCAAGTAATGCGTGGATGTCTTTTAGAACGATGAGCTGATTGAGCGTTGGTAGATAAGGTATTTTTATTTTCTGTTGTTGATAACAACTTCCTTCGCTTAGGAATCCATACTACCAACGATCGGGTTATGTGAAGTAAGAAAGGAGCGTTTGGCTTCACAAAAAGAAATATTACAGGGAAAATATGCCAGATCTTTCAATTCAATTAATTATCCTCTAACTAATGCTGCACATATACGTGAATTTGAATACGTACGTGCTGCTAGTTACGCTGTGCTTAATTCTGGACTTCTATTTCTTCTGGTTATACCGATCTACGTGCTTGACCTTATTACTACGCTTGATCATCAGCTTTTTTGCAGCCTTCCAAGTCCAAAGCGTAAGCAAGCGCAGGAAAGCTTATGACTTCTTGCTGCACGCGCACGCAGTGCTGACGGTTTTCCCTTGAGGCTTGAATGACCAAGCTTTCATTCTGTGGTACTCGCCTACCATTCACGATATACATTCTTTCTCCTTTTGCTTCTCTGATATTCGGGTGCCAGCATATGTCTTGTTTTTTAGAAGTCTGGCCTCCGCTGCCCAGTCTTTCACCGAATTCGAGGTATCTTGGAGAGATTTCGCACCTCACTGCCTCTGGATGCCGTGCTACACATTCAGGCAATCCACAAAAGCCACGTTTTTTCTTCATTCCGCGAATACGGCTGCTTACGCAAGTAATGAACAGTTTAGAGCCCATATTTGATTCATAAGGCATGCTACTGCTAGTCCTTCGGCCAGCCATCTTTTTAGTGTATCCCCGCAGCGGTGATGCTCTAGAAAGTTCGTTTTTCAGCGTATCAGTAATAACTGGTAATTGTTTTATCTGGTGAAACAGTGTTATGGCAGCATATAAACCTTCCATGCATAACAAATATTATCGATGTCTTCGATTACCTTACTAGTGACAAATTGATGAGGCGAGATATATTCTTCTCTAAGGCTTAATTTCCTCGATGTCGGATCTTCCGAGATGGTATTATGTGTAACTTCTCCGCATTCTTAGAACGCCTTCCAGATCATCGGCGTCATGTTAACGTTCTAAAATCTGGTCGGATCACTTTTTAATTTATCATGTCAAAGGGGCTAAAATATGACTTTCTACGCTGGCGGTATCTTACATACTCCCACGGACCGGTTCCAGATAATGGCGAGAACCGATGCGAAACCTGTCGGCTGATGGTAAAGTGTTGACTTCTAGTACTTGGTCTTGAGGGTTTCGGTTTGCCGAAACTGAACGAAAAACGAGTTGTTTCGAACACCGTGTATGTGTTTCTGTCTTTATCCCTTGTTCTCAGTAGGTGAAGTATTCATAAAGGATGTGGTGTGCGATGGACCAAGGGGTACGCCTTAGCTGGCACTTATTCCGAACTATCCTCAACTAAGCAGTTCCATTCAGTCCCTAGTGACGTTAATTCATCCTTTTTCCCCAAGCCGTGTATTGATATGGGCGGACACTGGGTGCAGCTGTGCCATCCCATCCTGGATGGAACTGATCTTGTACGCCCTTCTTTAGATTTCATTGTCAAATTATGCCTGTTTTCTTCATATTTTAGAAGACGTAACTCTCTATGTCAAACTTGAATAAAAGCGGGTTATTCGTAAGCGGTGTTTGCCTAGTGGCAACACCTCCAGTCAACATGTATCTGTGACCGGTGCAGCCATTTCTCGGGATGAAACGCCGGCATAACTACTGCATAGAAGTGTACTCTAATAATACGTGCATTTCTACATTGAGTCGCCTCGGTGTATCCACGTAGCAACGTCAAAAGCGGATGGAGACTTGTTCCTCTGTACTCGCGGCACTGCTGTATTTGGACTGGCGTATCCATAACCCTAGGAAAACACCCAGCCATACCACAGTGCACTGACTCCGCGGCTCCTGAAGTCATATCCAAGGCGCTTGTATGGCACATTCAGAGTTTGTCATGCCATATTGGTCAAATTTTGGTTCTCTGCACAATTTTTAACAGCGTCACTGTAGGTCCATCAAATGGAACTGACTAATCCCACTTTGTCTTGCCTAACGTCTTTAGGTTGGCCAGCATCGGCGAACCAATTCATCTCAAGGTTTTTCCTAAAGCCGTGAGGCTATTTTACCCGACTGGTTTCCTTGCTCGTACTTTGAAGTAGGTAGAACATCATCATGCACTTACTCGCAGGGGGATTCATATTCATTGTACTACATACAATAACTTAAAATACGGGCATTATTCTAATTGCCTATTCACTTTCCACTCGTTTAGCGCTGCAAACGTCAAGCTCACCAGAGGCTACTTTGACAGGATTTGCCATCGCTTTAGTAATGCTTTCCTCCGTGGAACTCGTTTAGCTCTGAACGCAAATTATTTGCACAAGGTGATCCTCATCTGGTTATCTTCCGTGCTGGTGCCAGAAACGACCATAGCGCTGTCGCCAACAAAGAAAGCATTTACTACGTCTTTTTTGCTTTGATAAGGCGAGTTAGAAGCTCTGTATTGTCATGGTTGCGGGAGATTTGGAGGCAGAACTGGAAACGTTTGGCGAATCTGAAAGTCAGTTGGAAGGTTTAAACGGATCAGTACGTACAAATATTAAGGAATGACCAGTTTGTGCTTCCAGAAAAGAACAACTTTGCGCCGCCTAGTTCAGAAATACGAAAAGTTCTCCGAAAAACTGGTCCCTCAAACAGTGCGCCAACCGAGGTGCCAAACTGATTATATCCCCTTTAGCTACGTATACCGTAGATGAACAGCTGAATGTAGTTCAATTGGGAACATCTACATAGATTTTGGCCAAACGCCTGTCGGAAGTCACTTTTATCTTCGTTGCCAAGCGCTACAAAAGTCTTTCACGGCTCATTCAGCAAGTTCAAGACATGGAGCCCTAACTTCCAGAAACTCTACAAACCACCCGCCTTCGGGTGCGAAAACGAAATTGCAGCGGTTTTGCACACAGCCGGGAAATCTATCTGTAGCAGATCTATCAATCTTTGGATGTCGGCCGAAACACTGGCAATGCCAAAAGCTGAGAGTACTCCTACTGATCTCAAATATTAATCAGTTTGACGCTATGTTGGAGCTTAGATGAAACTTAGGTTGAGCGCCGAGCGCAAAATTGGCCAGAAGCTTGGGTGAAGTAATCAAAAGCAGCGGAGATTCCCCAGGAAACTTGAGAGTGTTTCAGTTAATTGGGTTCGGCACCGGTCCTTATAAAAGCTAGTGACCGAACCCATCACAGCTCATAATGACACAACTTTCCCAACAGAGGATAGTAAATTGATAACAGAACCAGACGCTTTGCGCAGTTTTTGTGGCCACCTGCCTCTACTTAGTCAGAAGTCCGATCTGCACCATAGCCCTGGGCGTTGAATTTGAATGCCACACTGCCTCGGGCGGTTATCTTTTCGTGTATTCCCTAAAACGTCTTTGAGCTCCCTGTTTGAATGACCTCCCACAATAATCGTTAAAGAGTGGTCTCTAACTCCTCTGCCAACGCTCGCCTAGTCTCTTGTCTACATTTTGGAATTCTCAAGAGAAATCGGAGGAATTAATTACCCGGTACAACTGAAAAGAAGGGAGAGCAAAATGATGCTTAGACAGAAATATCTACCTCGTTTTACCGCAGTGAGGTACTTGAATTCACTCCTGATTTGCCTCGTCGTAAACCGTTAATCGGTGGCGGACAGAATCAAACAGGATTTTGGCGTACAAACGTATATTCCATCATGTTTTTGCGCTACTTCCTGTGCTAAGACGTCACATTTTCAAAAAACCCAGATTCAGCATTTACCAGTTTCGGGGCTAATCCGGCTCAGCTGACCAGTCCATATACGTATGCTAGGCGTAGCAGTGTTTGACAGGGATGAAAAAGTTGTAAAGGGCAACGTGATCAAAATATCTTTGAAATCATCTGCCTGGGCGTCCGGTATTCGCACAATGGAGTTGACAATTCAAAAGCTCCAGCGTGTACCTGATGGACTAAGGCAGACAGTCAAANAAAAAACTTCAAACTACAGGAAGTGTAGGGCCGGAATAGTGGATATGGAGATGCAGCAGAGCTGCCACGACATGGCAGGCCGGTTTGAACTAAAGTCCAGAACCGTCACTAGGGCTTCATGGCTAGGCATAGCAGTGTTTGACAGGGATGAAAAAGTTGTAAAGGGCAACGTGATCAAAATATCTTTGAAATCATCTGCCTGGGCGTCCGGTATTCGCACAATGGAGTTGACAATTCAAAAGCTCCAGCGTGTACCTGATGGACTAAGGCAGACAGTCAAATGAGTTCAGAATACCCTAACAAACTTTTGCGCCCGATGCCGGGAGAGTACTCCACCGGATTTTTTCCGCCAGATATATGATTGCCTCAATGGATAATGAAATTCGGTGAGCAGAAAAAATATGAGCATCAATAAGGGTGGTTTTTTTAAATTTGGCATATAGGCAACAAAATACAACATTTTGGGGTAGAAATTTTACTGCACTGGAAAAGGTTTTGCGGCTAATAGCATTGTGTAGCCAAACCGCCCATCTACCTGATCACAAGGGGTTCACTGATCCTGAACATGCAAACGAAGAAACAGCGGGTGTTTTGGATGAGGCGATCAGCGCCGCTAAGTCCCCCGAGACGCTGTGTGCCCAGGGAGTGTGACGCAAATTTTCGGTCAGGCAGTTACTAAACACCACTTACAAACCAAAGAAAGGTACCCAGTCTCATAGCGTACCATAGTATTCTGCTTATGTCGTTGATAAAATATGTTCTGACTTCGGTGCTGCTCATGATACGAGAAGAGAATTCTTGAATTTTTCATATTTTTCTAGTTAATGGTGCACATAATTGAAAAGCAGCATCTCCATCAGCTTCGAATGTGTTAGAGCATGGGCTACATTATCGCACGGCAGCGGAACTGAGAACTTTGGAGTTTTCGAAAGACTGTCTGAGAATAACTGCAGCTGTATAATGTTGCCCGCGAATCCGCAACGAAGCAGTCAGTTAAAGGGTGATTATTTGTGTACGAAGGATTCTAATCAAAGAATGTGCCCAATACCAAAACAGACTTCTTCGTCATGTAATACACATTACCGGTCACCATCTGCCAAATGTAATTTTGCATTTCTGCGCCGTTCAGCAGTGTATCTGGAAATGTGGTCTGCGATGGACGTGCAAGTGGAATATGTAGACCAGTTTGAAGGCCTGCTTTTGACTCACCTTCTAGAATATGGTTCAAATTAACACCCATTTTCATGGTCGAAGACTAGAAGGCATGGCCGTCCATTGATGCTACCTGCATTACTTTTATCAGCATCTATCCAAATTGCATGAATGAGTGTGCGACTATGCAGGGAAGGCCAGCATCCAAGCCCTTTCTCGTACGTTTTCACACTCGTTTTTATGGAAAGGTTATTTTTAAATTGTAGCATATCAGAGCGACGTATCAAGGTTAAAAGCTAATGGTGTTCTGTGGGTGCTGTGAATAGATTCACCAACTCTGGGTGCAAAAATTCGGCTATTTGGCTGCCTTACAACCGGAGCACGTTTCTACTAATAGTGGACACGGGGTCATTCTGGTGACAATAATGTCTTTTCTAACTGGTGTTGACATACTGTCGGAGATGAGCCTGATATTAAAGTCAGAATAAAACAAAATCAGACGTTGGTTGTGAGCGTCTCGTAATGGGCTAGAGTGGAATACTCATGCCCAAATGATCAATGCTTAGCCTAGACAGGACCATGCCAAATTCGTCAAGCTCTAACCGCAGCCGGTGAATCACAGGCTACTGACAGTATAGCGGGAATTCGGGACCGGTTGGGAATGGTCATTTGGGATACTGATGTTTATTTCCCATTGGCGCTTAGTTTAACGTCCGGCACGGTCAAAATGGTACATTCAAAACAAAAGCGCCGCTAACCTCAGCTGAAGATTATCAAGGACCAACGATAGCGGTACAGTCACAAAAATATTGGGTATCATCCAGCATAGACGCCGTTATCTCTAAAATGGTGTGGTTTAGCTGTGGCTCACATCGCGAGTGGAAAAACAGAGTTGTTAGTTTCTTGTTTTAGAGAATATACCAGATTAAAGCAAGACCAGACCGTTACAAGTTGACGGTGGCGGGTAGCAACACGACGGGGGAGGAGAAAGACTGGGGCTTCCTGACTGGCGCGGAATGAAAAACCACTAAGACAATTTTGGGGATGTGGCAGCTTTTCAGTGTTCCGTATGGCCAATTTGAACTGAAACTGAAAACCACACGGATGATCTGTGGCCTTGAACATTTAGGTTTCTGGGCAGGGTCACGAAAGGCATAAGCTGGGTTTGAGAAGCGGATGGATTCGCATTACGGATAAATGATAGTTTTAATGTCTGGATCATGGTGTATTCGGAAACCGTATAAACTCGCTGGTGTTGATGTTGAAGCGATTCGGGTGTAAAAGTTTTTAATCAGACCGAAGCATGTTTTACATTAAACCCTGTCATTTTGAATACTTCACAATCCTTGCAAAGTAGGATGACCTTATGATATGCATTATTAGCTGAACCCACAGATGGCAAAGTGAGGATGATGAACCGCACTTAGGTAGAATGATAATGAGATGGCTTTTCTATCACGGGAATATAGGCTAGGCTGCCATCGATTGGACACACCGATTCTTGGGAGCTTGAACATTTAGTTGTCGGGTTAGGACGTGTCGACACAGTATTAGGAAATTTTCAATGGAGAATATGCGGAAAAATCAGGGTACCACATGATGCCGAGTACTTTGAGGCTACCGCATCAATTAAGTGCATTGAGATGGTATTGTAGGTGCATTTGAATCGGCGGGCCAAGAAGTATCAGGAATGCGGTAAGCTACGGACAGGTCATCGGGCTAGTTATGTCAGTGGTGGTACAGTCATTGCGATGTCTTACGTTTTCGGCGAGTCGTTTGGGGCTGATAATGCAGTCAGCGTTGGCCAAGGACCTTTCGCAGAATAAGACCATTATGGAGATGGGTATTATTTCACCCATATAGAATGCAGGGTAGCTGGTTCTCACCATTCATATGAAGTTACAACGCAGCCACATCTTTTGTGGAGGGTGAAGAAAGCCGTTCTGAGGTTCGCTAGGTTGGTAGACGGACTGCCAAAGAAAGTAGCAAGAAACCAAAAATGGTTAAAATTTCTAACCACTGTAGTGGCGTGAAAACATATAATGGTTTCGAAATAGTAGAGAATAGCGATAAGCGATTGAAGTGATCGGGTGCAGCCGTACGAGAACGTGAGAGACACGCGTTAGCTAAGTGGTGTATCGCAAAAGCCACAGTTGTTTACTCGTTCATGAAGCAGTGCAGGACGGACAGAGTTAAGCGGAGCGAAACGGAGCATCGTGGTCGAAGGGCATGCGTCCTTCGGGCTAGTTTTCTGCTCGAGATTCGCCCCTTTATTAAGAAGTTGCAATAAATAGCGTACACCAATTTTTAGCAAACAGACTAAGAACTCAAGGCCAAAATGCGTAATCTTGAAGAAAGGCTGCGTTATTATTATTATCACTATTATTATTATTACAATAATATTATTATTATAGAATCAAGAAATCAAGC